AATCATCAATCGAATTGGGTTGTTGGAGTGTATCTTACGTGCAAAGCAACAAGAGATTAAATTCAGAAAATCATGAAGAAGGAGACCACGCCACCTCCCGCTTGAGCGCGCAGGTGGTTTGCATTTTGAGTGTGGGGGTGATCTTAGTTTGCGTGCGTAGTTGATCCTGGTATTATTGAGTGCACAGGTGATTTTGGATCTTAAGTCGCAGGTGATGCGTGTTTTGTGTGCGCCGGTGATTTTCACTGTCATTGCGAAGGTGATTCTGAGTTGAGTGGGCCGGAACCAGTTCTGAGTGCGAATTTGAGCCACCACAACTTCGAATTTGACATTCGATCTGACATACATTCTAGAATCCTACTTGACAATTTTCTGACGAGTGATCCCCACCGTGGCAAATTCCTGGCATATATTCTGACATATTATTTGGCATCTACTTTAAAATTTTACCTGACACCCTACTTGCATGCGATTTTGTATTGTACGTGACATTTGTTGGTCATTTTCTTTGGCATTCATTTTGCTCATGTTGGCATTTTTTGTATAATTTCCAGCCGTCTATGTGACGTGCATTTTGACAATTTATGGGCAATTTTCTCTGACATTTTCTCTGACATGCCTGTTGGCATTTCATGTTACATTTTATCAGACATTCTTCACATAATATATTTTGACTTGTAATATGGCATTCTCTCTGCGATTTTATTTCATCTTCTACCTGGTATGAATTCTGACTTCCTATCTGACATAGATTCTCACATTCTATTCACCCCGCTTCGCGTGGGGTGGCCGCCCACACCGCAGGTTTATTTCGGTCCGTGAGAGGGGCTAAGGGTGGTTTCCCCCCGTGGGGGCTCCCCAAGCTAAGAAGTTTCACTTCCCCCCCCCCGTGGGGGCTCCCCAAGCTAGGGAATTTTCACTTTTCCCCCCCGTGGGGGCTCCCCAAGCTAGGGAATTTTCACTTTTCCCACCCGTGGGGGCTCCCCAAGCTAGGGAATTTTCACTTTTCCCCCCCGTGGGGGCTCCCCTAGGGAGCTCCCCAAGCTAGGGAATTTTCACTTTTCCCCCCCGTGGGGGCTTCCCAAGCTAGGGCATTTTCACTTTCCCCGCCGTGACAGCTTCCCAAGCTATGGAATTTTCACTTTTCCCTCCCTTGGAGGCTCTCCAAGCTGCGGAATTTCAAATAGCTAGACAACGACGCCTAGATAGTCCCCCAAATCCCGTGTTCTTTGAATGTGTTTCCATGTTTTTGCAATGGTTTCCTTCAAAGCACGGTACTTTACATTTTTGTCGCCATACAACCGGTCGAAAACATCATGTTCGACAATGCTTCCAATTCCCTTATCTCCCCAACCGTTGAAAATACCGCTATTTACAGTGTTTTCTTCAATTTTTCCATGTGCCAATGCCGGTAGCCAACTCCAACATATAATCCCCGTGGCAATTTCCTCTATAAAATAGAGGTACCCGGGTACCCTTATAACCCACCATTTTATCCCTCTATAAAATGTTTTTTTTTTGGTGGGAAATACGAAGCACTTTTTGGTGTTTTTGGCATGTTGCAAGGTCAACCCAGGTCCCCATTTTATAGAGGGACTTTTTGGGGTAACTTTTGGGGGCTCTTTTAACCCTGGTCCCCATTTTATAGAGACTAATGCTTGGATTGTGACCGGCAGCAACACATGGCTCCAAAATGTTCAAAAAGATCAAACATGTTGGCAAGATTTGGCAAGTAAAAAGAGAAACCAATTGAATACAATCGAGGGCTCTGTTGGCGGCTTTCGGGCCTAAAATTTCAACCCCAGCGGAAGCATGGCTCCGTTGAGGTTGAATTTTGGGTCGGTTTCGGGCTCAACATAGGCTCAAAACGAGTTGCACCATCTACCTTCTCATTTTAAAGTAGGGTGACTTTTTTCAAGTGGCTGAACTCGTTTTATGTTCCGGCAAAAAATAGCGCCGTTTTCTTTCTCACCGCGCGGTGCCATCTTATGGGTATTTTGGTTTTGGAGTTGCGCCATCTACTTTTAGGGGGGTATAATACAAGAACATCCAAGAACATACAAGATACTACAAGCACATACAAGCACGAACAATGATGTTACAATATGTTACATGATGTTACAAATTTATATTATACTACCTCTATAAAATGGGTATTTGGGCCTCTACCACCAAGAGCCTCTATAAAATGGGTGCTTTGTGGTAAGATACGAGCTGGTTCCCCATTTTATAGAGGAGGGCTTCCCAGAATCTGGGAAAGTGCTGGGGCTTTGGAGATTTTTGATGATGTTTGATGTTTTTTTTGAGGGGGCTTTTGGGTCTGGGATGGCTTAGGGATGTTTGGGGAATCTTAGGAATTCTTAGAATATCTATGGAATTCTATGGATATCTTGGGTTGTGTGGTAAAGCGCCTTCCCTAACTTCCAGCTTTCTAGCTTTCCCATCCCAGGATCTCCCAGGTGCCAATGTGTTTTCCATAATTTTTCCATTTTATAGAGGCAAGCCCTTGCAAAACCGTTCAGCTCCCCATTTTATAGAAGGGCTTCCTAGCTTTCCAATCACAGGTGCCCATGCGTTTCTATTTTATAGAGGCAAGCCCTTGCAAAACCGTTCTGCTCCCCATTTTATAGAAGGGCTTCCTAGCTTTCCAATCACAGGTGCCCATGCGTTTCTATTTTATAGAGGCAAGCCCTTGCAAAACCGTTCTGCTCTCCATTTTATAGAAGGGTTTCCTAGCTTTCCAATCACAGGTGCCCATGCGTTTCTATTTTATAGAGGCAAGCCCTTGCAAAACCGTTCTGCTCCCCATTTTATAGAAGGGCTTCCTAGCTTTCCAATCACAGGTGCCCATGCGTTTCTATTTTATAGAGGCAAGCCCTTGCAAAACCGTTCTGCTCCCCATTTGATAGAAGGGCTTCCTAGCTTTCCAATCACAGGTGCCCATGCGTTTCTATTTTATAGAGGCAAGCCCTTGCAAAACCGTTCTGCTCCCCATTTTATAGAAGGGCTTCCTAGCTTTCCAATCACAGGTGCCCATGCGTTTCTATTTTATAGAGGCAAGCCCTTGCAAAACCGTTCTGCTCTCCATTTTATAGAAGGGCTTCCTAGCTTTCCAATCACAGGTGCCCATGCGTTTCTATTTTATAGAGGCAAGCCCTTGCAAAACCGTTCTGCTCTCCATTTTATAGAAGGGTTTCCTAGCTTTCCAATCACAGGTGCCCATGCGTTTCTATTTTATAGAGGCAAGCCCTTGCAAAACCGTTCTGTTCCCCATTTTATAGAAAGGTTATCAGAGGTTTTTTTTAAACAATATATACAAACAATCTTAAACAATCCTGGTGGCCATTTCCTCTATAAAATGGTCGCACCCGGGTACCCTGCTAAACCATTTTTTCAGGCACTATAAAATGGAAAACAGAATGTTTGGAGTGGTTCTTGAATGGTTTACCAGGATATGTTTTATCTATTTTTTTTTGGGCAAGTACTACTTTATAGAGGCCACTTGGGGCCTTACTGCAGGAAAGCTGTTCATTTAGTAGGGGTGGCACAGGCCTCCACTTTATAGCACAATGTTGGCTGTGCAATGTTGTGGTGCTATTTTATAGATAGGGTGTTTCCATGTGTGGTGTGGCTGAACTTCCACTTTATAGAGTGCCCGTTTGCATTGTTTTTTTCAAGGCTTTGTATCAACATGTATCAACATGTATCATCTTAAACATATTCAGTGCAGTTGTGAAAAAGTGCAGTTTTTATGCGAGGCAGGCCTGTTGTATTTCTCACCTTTTATCACCTCTATAAAATAGAAATTCCAAATCAACAACTCTCTTTTATGACCGGAGTTTGCCCCCAGCACTTCACACCTGGGACCCTGATCCCCATTTTATAGAAGGTCAAAATGGACCCAGACAGCCGAATCAGACAGTTAAGTAAGTAACCTGGGTACCCCCATTTTATAGACAGCGCAGACCCCCCTAATTACCTGGGCACCCCATTTTATAGAGGGCCCCCCCCCCAAAACCATTTTATCACTATAAAATGGGGGTACCCAGGTTACACACCGAACTCCAAGGGGGATAACATATATATAAGAAATCCTTCCAAAACATTGTTTTTGACAGTGTTTTTCCAATGTTTCCAGTCAAACAGACGGTAATTTACACGTTTTTTGCCATAAAGGCAGTAAATCCTTCCAAAACATTGCTTTTGACAGTGTTTTTGTAATGTTTCCAGTCAAGCATACGGTAATTTACACGTTTTTTGCTATAACGTCAGTCCAAAACACTTGTTTTTGCAGTGTTTTCAATGCTCTGGCATCCAAAAACCCTGCAAAATCTTGCTATGTACAATGTTTTTTTCATTTTTGGCCGTTTTTCCATTGCCGGAAAGCTACCAAAATGACCCAAAATTCCATTTCAATACCCTCTTGCGCTCAGACACCCAAAAATCCTCGAAAAATGTCGAAAACACCACCGTATTCTGGTCTCGGTGCGAAACCGTTTTTGGGGTCTGGTCTCGGTGCGAAACCGTTTTTGCCCCCCCCCCCCAGCTAAAGCTGATATAGCGACTGCTATATTAACAAATGTCATTGAGCATTTAGTGTTGCTGTTGCCCCCCAATAAGCACGCCTTCACCGCCAAAGCGGTGTGGGCGGATTTGATATTTTGCCCGACCATTTCTTTTGGCATCAACTTTGACATTCTATCTGAGACGAAATTTGGCAACGTATTTGACATGCATCCTGACATCTTATCTTGCATAGTGCTCGGGTCTGGCAAACCCCAGAGTCTGCAAAGTTGCTGTAGAAAGTGGCGCTGAGTCAGCGCAGAGGAGGCGCGGAGGAGGAGGGAGAGGGGGAGAAGGAAAAGGAAGCGGAGAAGGGGGAGGAACAAATTGACATAAAACCTGAGAAACAAGAGAAACCCGCAGGCACCTGTAGTTAATTAATCCAAGATGACCCAAACAGTTTCAGAACTGATAGTTCAAGGATGGACGTAGTTACCTGGGCTCAAGCTTGGAACCGGACCAAATCTTTTCAATGCTCGATACGCTTGATGCTGGACACGTTCGCATGCCAGCAATGCCGCGCCTTCTTGCTATTTTCTGTTCGCTAATTCTTTGTTCCTGCAGTCATTCCTTGGAGAGTTGCAAGAGCTCAAAGATCGAACATGAGGAAACATCGAACCTTATGACACATTTGGCACAGCAATTTCAGACCAATGTGTCGACGGAGAGGGAGGCTTTGCCTTCACAGATTCCAAGGAAGTGCTTCGCTGTTTTTAGTCATTTTTTGTTTTTGTAGTGCTGGTGTGGGGAGGGCGTCCGGAAGGGTTTGCCAACCTCGCTTATTATAGGTTTGTCAGAGCAAGCTGGCTAAGGTTGCTCTTCACCTACAAGACCAATCTGTTCAAAGCTGAGCAGGGACATTTAAGCACTCAGGAGAAAATATTGCTGGCCAACATGAAGCGCACAGTGAGAGTGTTCCAGAATATGACCGGTGGCGCGCCAGATGTTGAAATGTGGGACGACCAGGATTGCTTCACTGCACTCGAAAAACTTCAGATGAAGGAGGGTCCTGAGCTGGCGTTGGACTTTCGCAGAGAGGCCGTGGGCATGATCAAGTCTGACATTTGTCGCCTGGTGATGCTGTACAACACGGGTGGCTATTACTTTGACATAGATGTTGCACCATTAGATGCACTGCACAAAGCATTGGACCCCCGAGCCACTTTTGTGACAACGAAGATCAAAGACGGACTTTTTTTCCAAGCTTTCTTGGCCACTACACCCAAACACCCTGTGATCAGGAAGTCTTTGACGAATCTCGTTCTGATAAATTTGCATTTGAAGCCTGAATCCTTTTTCGCACAATTTTTCATCCATTGATTTTAGTTGGGTGGAAAATGGGAGCAATTTCCATCCAAACCCATGCTGTAAATCTGGATGCTGCTGTGTTTGTTTTTTTTTGGGGGTTCCTGCTCAATGCGAGTCGGTATCTGTGAAACTTGTACGATGCTGCATGCATAATTGATTTGCATATATTTGCATAATTGATGTATTTGTTTTTGCTGGTGAGGATGTTCAAGACCTGGTACGACGAGTATTCGGCACCTGGTCAGAACAAGGAGAAGCTTCGCCAGGAAACAGGCGGTGGAGGCTAGGGCTGCATTAAGATGCCTAAGCGATGATGTTGTGTTTGGTTTTTCCATTCATGACCCATGATCTTTTACATCCGTTTGACATCACACCTTCGCCTGCCAAGGAAATATCGGCACAGCTCTGTTGGCAAGGTCGTTCAAAGACCCTTCTCTTTCGATTTCGTTGTTTTTTCTTTTTGTTTTCTGCAAGGTAATCATATGTATATTTGATCCTAATGGGGCTGTCACATCGAAGTCGGCGCAACAACCGGTTTTATGGTCAAACCATTGGTCTCATTTAAGCTGCTTCTCAGACATCCTCGCAACGAGATCTTACGAGCCTTCTATGACGATCATCGGAAAGTTTCATAGTGCGCGTCTGGTCCTTGTGAGAAGACCTTTTGAAGATCCGGGTGGCATTGTGATCTTGTAGAATCTTGTAGGTGTCCTTGTGAGATCTCTTGGGGATTCTGCTAAAGTTTTTCTCGTGTGGTCCTTGCATGAAGATCTGTGTTAGAGGTGCTTGTACGAAAGCTCTTGTGAGATGCTCTTGTCACTGGTTCTTGTAAAAAGATCTGGTAAGATCCTCTATAGAATGCCCTTCTATGAGGATCTGGTGAGATTCTCTTTGAGGTCCTGGTGTGAAGATCTCTTGGCCAAGAGATTTTTTAAAGCTAGTTTACGTGCAAATCTTGCCGAGAGATCTTTTGCACAGATCTTGCCAAAGGATCTCCTATAGACACTTTGCGGAGAGATCTTGTGGAGAGATCTCTGACAGAGATCTTGCCATTTTTTTAAAGTAGTGAGCTTGTAAAGAGATCTTGCCGAGCGACCTTGAATAGAGATCTCTTGCAGGGATTTTGCCCAAGACGTCTCTTGCAGAGATCTTGCTTGGAGATCATGTAGGAAACTGGAGCAGAGATCTTGTTTTTAGAGATCGCAGAGATCTTGTGCAGAGATCTCTTTTAGAGACCTTGTACAGAGATCTCTTCAAGAGATTTTGCGCGGAGATCTCTTTTGGATACCTTGTGCAGGGATCTGGTAAAGATCTCTTACAGGGATCTTGACAAGAGATGTGTTGCGCAAGAGACCTCCTATAGAATCCTATAGAGACGTTGTGGAGAGATCTTGTGTAGCGATCTCCCACAGCGATACACAGGGATTGTGTAAAGCGATCTCGTATAGACAACCTTGTGCAAAGATTTTGTATAGAGGCCACTGACGAAGACATACCACAAAGATCCTGACGAAGGGAACCTACAAAGGATCTCTTGCGCAGGGCCTTCTGCAGATATCCTTACACAAGAGCTTATTCAGAGATCCTGTCAAGGAGATCTTGCACGCGAGCTTTTACAAAGATCGTCACAAAGGTAAGCAGAATCTACCCTGATATCTCTTTGCCATGTTCTTTGCATCACTACTATTTGGGGTCTCTTGCCGGGACAAATCTTGTTCTTGCCTTTTTGCAGGGGCATGGAATGTGTTTCAAATCTGTCCACCATTCTCTACACAACAAATCTGTTTCACTTTCATATGCGTTGAGGACACTCAATCCACGTACCTGCGTTATTTACATACCAGCCACCCAAACTCAGAACCGACGTACCTTTTCTTTGCATTCCGCGAATTTGATTTTGGTATTCACAATTTTGTGCCTGGTTGTCCTCATTCTGAACGATTTTCTCTGGTCTTGAAAGAGGCCCAAAAACTTGAATTGTGATTGCGTTTTAGAATTTGCACCCGGATCAATCTCTTGTGCCGGCACCATGGGTGGATGACACTGTGGAGTATTGCGATCAGTGCCTGAAGGTTCCAAAATCCTTTCCGTTTTGTTTTTTTTTCAAGCAAATATACGATATATTGTGGCCGTTTTTGCACGAATAATGCGCTCCGACATGCAAAATTGAAATACTCTGCAGGGAAGACCTTTCCAAGGTTGAATTTTCATGAATTTTCAGCTTTATTTGTTGCCGTTTATTTATAGATTTGATAGCTAGCAGCTAGTAAGTAAATTGTGAAAGTAGTTCGAGATGTTGGCTGTGCCCTGTAGGCGAGGCCGTTCGAGCATTCTCTTTTGATTCTGTCGTTTCATGGTATGTATACGGGTGGGTGTGTGTGTGTGGAACATCTGAATATATGTAAAACCTCTACTTAAGCAGGGGGTGGATCCATGGTCTGGCAGTCATCCACCAACGAAGACACTGCCTTTCCATGGTGATATGACGAAGGTACGCCTTTGTCACGTACCTGCTTCATTTTCGGACATTGGATGTGGCCAACCCAAGAACCACCATGCCGTTTCCAAACAACTTGCTTTCAAATTTCTCGATTCGCACGGTTTTTTCAATCCGTCAACTTTGTTCATCTAGCACTGGACATGGCAATGGTACCTTTTCAATTTTTCTCGGGTCTCTTCACCGACCCATTCCTGTCAGGTGTAATTGGAGTGTTTTTGCACGTAAGATGCATTCCACATCAGAATTTGCAAAGATTGTTCTGAGCAAGTGTGTGGTTCATGCTGGATTCGTCACGGTGGCATGAACCCTTCGGGGAATACCTTTCCAGGTAGGAGAGTGAATCCTCGACCTGATCTCTGAATTTACAGTTTTCAACCTAGTAATTCGTCTAAGTAAAGTGAAACAGCTGGCCATTTTTCGGGTCTCACCTGTCGCCTGTCGATTGGTTAAGGAGTGGGCCGCTGTATTGGGTTTCACCTTTTTCTCTTGATCCTTCGACTTGATCTATGAATTCACAGTTTCAATCTATTGATTCCCTTACGGAAATGCCTGTCGATGTGTTAAACAGCGGGCCGCAGTACTGGGCTTCACCTTTTACTCAACATGGATTTCCAGGGTTTTCCAGGTATCAGGACATGCTTGCAGGTATGGTGACTCTTCTTTTTATGGTCGTTGGTACGGTTCAAATATGCACGTAATCGGCGTAAGCTGTCCATGGGGTTGATCTGACCACCGAGGGCCTTGAGCCTTATCACGGCTCTTGCATGGATTGTGGATGCATCATTTCATTGACTAGTCCCCCATGGGTCCCCTATTTCATGTGTTCTCCTCTCTACAGGTAGGTTGGGTTCTGCGCGTGCTTAGGTAGGCGTAGGTTTTGCTGTGGTAGGTTGGTTTAGGCGCTTCCGTCCTCCCCCCCTCCGCTGGTCTTGTTCTGTGTCCGTCGGCCTCCGCTTTTCTTTTCCCTTGCCCTTTCAGGGTTTGCCCGCTTTGGGCCAGGTTTGCCTGTGTTGGTGTTTGCTCCTTCCCTCTTCTTTTGCGTTCCCCTCTTCGCGTCCTGGTTAAGTAACTTTCATCTCATTTTCATCTTCACCTCATCTTCATTTCCTTTCAATTTCATTTTCATCTCACTGTCCGGACCTTGATTTTCCCACCCTCCCGCGGGAGGGCGTGTGTGGAACATCTGAATAGATGTAAAACCTCTAACTTAAGCAGGGGGTGGATGCATGGTCTGGCAGTCATCCACCAACGAAGACACTGCCTTTCCATGGTGATATGACGAAGGGACGCCTTTGTCACGTACCTGCTTCGTTTTCGGACATTGGATGTGGCCAACCCAAGAACCACCATGCCGTTTCCAAATAACTTGCTTTCAAATTTCTCGATTCGCACGGTTTTTTCAATCTGTCAACTTTTTTCATCTAGCACTGGACATGGCAATGGTACCTTTTCAATTTTTCTCGGGTCTCTTCACCGACCCATTCCTGTCAGGTGTAATTGGAGTGTTTTTGCACGTAAGATGTGTTCCACATCAGAATTTGCAAAGATTGTTCTGAGCAAGTGTGTGTGTGTGTGTGTCTGGTGTGTAAAGTGTTCTTTTATTACAACCCATTTTATCCGCACATTTTTAATGTGTCCTACCTTTTTTCCAATTGAGCAAGCTTCCCAAAAAAGGGAGCAGGTCAGCTTCAGTTTCATCAAGTCAGGAGTGGTCTTCAAGCACAAGTGAAAGCCCCTTGCTGGTCCATCACGCGGGCAAGGGTGGGCATGTGTCTCAATTCTTTCAAGAATGGCAATTTGAGATGCAAGGCCAAGGCGTTGCTCCGAGAGAGCGGCGTCATTTTTCGTATGATGATTATTGTGACTGGGGTGCTGTTGACACACGCACGAATACCGTGGTGTTGATCGCCAGGGTTTACGATTGGCGAAGTAACAAGATTTGCGAAGCATCAAAATTATCAAAATTCCCAGCAAATGGCTTGGCAAATTTCCTCGGACTCAGTCTGCCTTGAGGCGGAATAATGAAAAATGCGGGTTGTTGCTGTGACTCCGGGGCGGGTTTCTGGTGGATTAAGCAACATGTAAAGAGTTTGTGGATGTATACCAACTGGATTCAACAGACGTCGTTGCACAGGAAGCGGGTGCAATCCCTATCCACGGTGCAGCCATGACATCTTCTGTTGTGCGTTTTGCACGCTTGATTTGAGAGGGAATTGAGGCTAGGTTGCTCAGAGAGCCCTCTAGATTCCACAGCTCCCCTCGCACACTATCATTATAATGGACACAGATTGATTATAATGCTTCTGCACACAGATGGGGAACTGCAAAAACAGTTGGCAACATGTGTTTTAATTAGTCTATCTTTCCTTTATTTTTCTTGTCGCGCCCTTGGTTGATCCATGCAAAGAAATGCAAAGAAACTGTGACGGCAATTTTCTGGCGCTGGCAGATGTGCCATCAAGAAGACCCATAAAGGGGTTAATGTCGATGCAGCGTTCCGAGCCGATGGAATTTCGTGACGTCGTGAACTGCAAGTCCTTCAGGAATTTTTCTTTGTGGCAAGCACCATGTGTCCCAACAGCCGAGGACTGAAATTTGGACAGTCCATCAGCTGACTTGGGTGTCGAAAGTCAGATCCGTGGTGTGCAATTAGATGTGGCTGGTTCGGGATGGGATTGACCGCAACGGGGAATCCCAGGGAACTATATTCATATCTTTGATCTTCGTTGGGTTTTGCCAGTTTTGCCTGGGATTCTACTTGACATTTTTTGCGAGGTACATTGTGGCATTTCATGTGGCAATATCTTGCATTTTTTTGCGATTATTTTATTTGACCTTGTCCTTGGCATGAATTTTGCATACATCATATATATATATATGTACGAGATACATTTTGACATTCGATTTCACATTTTGTCCAACATTCTCCCTGGAATCAATTTTGACCGTCTATCTGACATAAGTTTCCGCCTTCTTTTTTGATGATATGCATTCTGACGTTTTATACTTGAATATTGTGGGGTAAACACACCTACATATTCATTAGTGAGCCCTTCCTTTCCAGTCAAGGTCCAACTTAGTTTGTTTAAATGACTTTTGGCTCAAGATGGTTAAAATGTTCGCTTTCGCTGCCCTGGGTGCGTTGGTGTTCTTTTGCTGTCTTGTTTTGGGGTTGTTAGTAAACATCGACAGTTCAATTTGTTATCAGCCGTAGTTCGCTCTTTGTTTGACCCCCAAAAAGCACTTTCAGATTTTTGTGGTCGGCGACTCCCTAAAAGTCTGCACATGGGCTGCTGAGGGCACTGGCCAGGTTGTGTCGACTCCAATCTCTTGCCAAAGGGTGCATTGGCTGGTCGATTTCTTCAGAGCCGTTTTTGTCGACCGTAAAGCAGTTTGCAAAGTATTTTCCAGCAGCAGTACCGTTTCATCGGCATTTTGCTGTTCGCAAGTCTTCAGGGTCTCGGCATTTTGCTTTGAGTGTGAGCCCAAGACTACAAGTTGAGTTTTTTGAGTGATTTTACGGAATTCGCATTTCGCCACAACAATTTTATCCGCCATCATTGGCTTTGGACTTTATCAGCTTGGCAGTTTCTTCAATCCCATAGTGGAATTTGATTGTGATTTGCCTTGAACCTTTTTCTTTTGCACAGAGATCGCATTTTGCAGTTTCAACCGCAAGCCCAAGGGTCTCACTGCAGTTGTATTGCAGATGGATTGTCTCGCCGCAAGCTTCAGGGTTGTTTCACTGCCTCGTCAGCGGTAGTTTCACATAATTGCATTGAATTTACCAATCCATTTGAATATCCTGCACCTCTCACTACGCAGCTGCGCCAATGCTTCAGTGAGAAGGGTTTTGATTGTTTTTCTTTTGGACTTTTGATCCTCCACAACCACCTTGTTTAGCTCCTTCGAGCGCCACGGTGGATTGACTAGCTTGGATTGTTCTATTGAATCACGTGCATAGCCGTGTTTCGCTTGTGGAATTTCCATTGCGATGTCAAGTTCAGATCCAACATCGAATTTTGACAGTTTGAGCGTTAGCACTGAATCCATGGATGTTCCAGCCGCTGTTGGAGAAGCATCATCTGAAAGGTCCAACCGAAGTGCGTCGTCAACACCTCGGCGTGACCGTTCCAAAAGTCATCAAGGGCAGGGACAAGGGAGACGCAATATGTCACAGGTTATCAAAAGTTTGCCAAGAGATCATGACTCTGGTAGGCATTTGGCAGTTGTTTCAACTGGTTCTGGTGTTGGTTCAGAATCTCAACCATCGCAGTTGCCTTTGGATTTTCCTTCAATTGAACCCCAAGCTTCGGTTCACAACACCTTTGAATATCATGATCAGAGATCCCAGCAAGCTAATGTTGGAATAGATCCCATGGTGTTCTCCAATATGGTGTCCGAGGCTAGAAGGGTTATCCAAGAATCTGAAGAGAAAGCCCAGGGTTTAGAACAACTTGCCCAAGAGGCTTACCAGCAAGCCTGTTGTCGCATTCAGGAACTTGTGAATCTTGCGGAAGCTTTATATAGTTCCAATTGTTCCAAGACTTCTGAGATTGAGATGCTTCAAAGGGATGTCCAATCAACTCGAGATCAACTTCAAGTTCAGATAGACCGCAATCAAGCCTTGGGATCTCACATTGCCCAATTTGAGTCCCAGATGTCCAATATCCAGAATTTATTTGGCCATAAGGATGCTGAGATTACACGCCTGATGTCTGAAGTTTCCCGTCTCCGATCAAGTGAAGCCCGGCTTGAGGAGAGGTTGGCAGCTCTAAGCGCCACTCCCTCTGGCGACAAGTGTTGAGGCACCGCTGAGGTCTGCTCAGGTAGATACCAGTTCAGGGATTCTGGGTGGAACAGTTGACGGTGATGTTGTCGAAGGTCCGAATGGTCAACTTGCGAATGTTTTCCAATCAGCAATGGAACGAAGAATGGATTCAATGATGGCAGCCATTCAGTGTTTGTCAGACAGAATGATCAACTATGAGCAAAATGGTCCGGATTCCAATCAAATGAACCCCAATAGCAACAATCGTTTTCCCCAGCCTTCAGGTTCAATCAATCCACTTTGGTCAAGGGATGAGGGGGGTGACGGAGAGGATGAATTAGTTGTTGCAAATATCCTGAAGGCCCGGACTTATCTGAAGAAGAGATTGAAGGACTGCTTGAACTTTTTCGTAGCTGCCTTCTTGGTAAGCGTGCCGTACACGGATTGGCGCTCCGCACTCCGCACTGCGGACAACATCCATGAGACTCAAAAAGATTCCTACCAGCTCGGTATTTTAACCTTGAACTTGGGTCACGTCAATCGAGTTCCGTATATCGGAGGAAGCTCAAAATTCCCTTCCTGGGTCAGAAAAGACACGGAGTATCGCTGTCTGCCATATTTAGTTTACTCTGCACACATTACATGCCTTTGCGAAGCAAGTGATGAACACGGCGGCATAGCACTGCATCAGCAGGTAGCTCGAGATCACGGCATGATTGGAATGGTTGTGCATCCAGAGATCAATTCCCAGTCGGTTGCTCTTTTTATCAGATGAGATCATTCAGTTGGAACTTTTATTGAATTGCTTGGCCATTAATTACCAATGTGAAACTGAGAATAAGAAAAATAAATTTTGGTTACTTCATGGAGCAATTTTTCGCCTCTGCCATGGCAAGAACACCTCGGCAGAATTCGTTAATCCGAATACCGGAGTACGAATGGTATGCCTAATGTAACTCCAAATGAAAAATTGACAGTAAAGCCACATCCGGCTCCACTGGCTAGCACACTTGGCTCTGAGGACTATGCCATCTGTGAAATAGACGGAAAGGTTGAAGTTCAACAAGCTGAGCTTCTTCCTGTTGCATCCGGCGCAGACACGCATCACGTGAAACGCCTTGGTTTGGCAGAAATCCGGATTGCGGTATTCCACATTTCATCTTACGCCTGGACAGACGCTTACGCCGAAGCGTGCCAAAAATGGTTGAGTTTTATTGCTAGTTGTATTGAGCACCAACAATTTGCTCAACGTAGCTTCAAGAAAGATGAGCATTCCGATTTTCGGACATCCATCATGATTGACATTCTTGAAAGATTTCTGCAACAGATCAACTTGCACCGAAGTCCCATCAATCGCATTACGTATAACGTAGTTTCATCCACAATGGCAAGTGAGTACATTAGAAGCATGGAAGGCAAAAATGCCGACTGTGATTCAATGATTTTAATTTCTCTATGTTATGGTAAACAAGTTGCAGTTTCTGAAGCCCGAGGCAAGGAAGAATCCGCATCTGCGGATGGAATGTCAGGCTCTGCCTTTTCTGATGAAGTCATACTAAGCGACGTGGAACAATTGAAGCACCTTTTGCCATATGACTTGGGTCTTGCAGAAAAAGATTGCGCTTATCACTCACCTCTTCTGACTTATGCACAGCTCAAGGTTTTCAAGGATATGAGAATTCGATAGAATTCGGTCAAAGGAATCCGAGGTCCGGAGACGCGCACGTTGGGGTGAAATCAACGAAGGCTACAAGGAAAAGCGCGATGAGCGCAAGGAGCGCAAGGATAGTGTGCCGCCGTTGCGGCGAAATTCCTTCAAGAATCTTGACGACCGTCGATCCCGGTCTGCCAGTCGTGTATCCCGGTCTGTTAGCCGTGTATCGAGCAGAGACCTTTCCTTTCGCAGACCAAATCCGCCGCCGGAGCCAAAAGCACTTCTATTGCAACCAAGGGTTAAAGCAGCTCCTGCATTTTTGAAGCCAGCACCGAGTACATCCACTGTCTCACCTCCTGTCAAGGCACCACCTGTACCGCCTCCGCGACCTGCAGGATCTCCAAGTGCCGGTCGGCCAGCTGCAACTCGAACCGTGGGAACATCAAGCAAAACGCCTCCTTGGCGAGAGCGAGAGCAGCGCCAGTATACTGCTCGAGGTCGTGAGAGATCTCAAACCCCGGTCAAACGCAACACAAGGACAAGAACCGAATCACGGCCGTCCACAGGAGCAAGCTGGACCAACACCAGACGTGACAGAGAC